AAAAAAAAAAAAAAAAAAAAAAAAAAAAAAACAATGAAGTCACTTCAATAATAAAGTGGCTTCCGTTTTTTTGATAATTTTGTCAATTTATTGTTGCTGCAATAGTTTTCTCTTTTTTTCAGGACCCAACGTACTTTAAAATATATCGTATTGCATTGGTAACGTTGACGGTTACAGTAGTGCCATGCATTTTGATATTTGTTTTTACATTAACAATTTCTTGTGAATTACGTAAAGCGTATTTACGACGGAAATCCTTATGTCCAAAAAGCAGTGATCCGACAGTACGGACAAGAAAATTGGAAATGAGGTCTTATTAGTTTTTCCAAAGCTTACATATCTAATCCTTCTTTAGCTAACGACCTTGCATCTCACAAATTATACAGATTCCTCCATCAGATTACTGATGACTTATTTTCCAAAAAATAATCATGATTTTAAGACACATCAAAGTTTAAGATTTAAACTTTTATCAATTACTAAAAACTGAAAGATGTTGCATCACTAAATCGGTTAAACTTTCTGTTGATCTGCCCATAATGACCGCTCAAGAAGTGTGAAATTGTCAAACTCGAAGTTGCATCTTAAAACTAACATATCCAACGCTGCTCCCACTTAAATTAGTGTATGAAAAAATCTTTATTTTTCAGGAAAGACCGTAAAGCAAACATTATGCTTGTTTTAGTAATAGCCAAATTTCTACTTTCCGATATACTTCCAACTGTTGCTGATGTCCTCGAGTTGGTAAGCAAAATTGACTTTGGTTCAATAAAATTCGATTACTGTAGGGGAATTTTCGGGAACTTTTCAAGCAAGAATCATACAATAAGCTTTGTTCTTCTGGCCTAAGCCATGCAAAAGTGATATTCCACAAGTATCAAGAAAATTTTTACCAGACAATGCCGTCCTAAGTAATATTTGCATAAATAACAGCCGCCTTGATTCACGTAATTCTTAATAGTCAAAACTTTTCCAAAACTGATATTTACTATACTTTACCGCAACACATACAGCACCACAAAAACAAGTTAAATTTTTTTAGATTATGGGTAGTGAAGTGTTCAACACGTCGTCATCAGCAACAATCTTAGTAGCGATTAGTAATTTTTTGCTTGTGGTTAACTGCTCAACTAATTTTTGGGTATTCTTGTTATGGGGCAAACACTTCCGTGATATGTTTAAAGAACTCATGACCACGTTTACTATTTGTGCTAAACGGACAACCTCCAAAAACCAACCGGTAACTATTACTAAACAAATATAATAAATTTGTCCACACAACTAAGACAATTATACATTTATTTCTTTACATCATTTAAGAGACATCCATGGACATTAATGTTAGTTGAAAATCTTAATAAGACTTAACATCACAGTAATCAATAACAACAGTTACAGGAAATTTTGTCCAGTTGCTGTGGCCGAACAAAGTATACGACTTTTGTGGAGTATGGTGAACGTAACAAATGTAATTGCTATAAATGTAAACATCGGAAATCACATGAACCTCGAAGGTTAGTGAACAAAATGAACCATTATAATTTCAAATTTTAAATTTTCTTCACAGTGGAATCTTACACTGCTTCATGTCACTATCTCTCGCTGTCATTTACCAAGCAAAATTATTAGGCAGTGCTAATCAAAATTATTTAGCTATACTCATTTTAGCAACGTAGACTTATTCACTGCATTATTACATAGCGAGCAAAGCATTCAGCGAGAAGTACCAAGAAGGTTATCTGCTCTGCAGTGGGATTACGATAAACATAAAATTCTTGCCGTGCTCGCCACTGAACGACAGTACGACATGTAAATATAAATAAAGATT